TGTAAAAAGAGTAAAACTGCAGTATGGCAGTTGAAAATGTCAAGGTGTTCACAATCAGACCGATCTGTCTGAACTCCCTATAATTACTCCCTTGACTCTGCTGACAAAGAGGGGAAGAGAACCTGTGGCTCAGTGGCTAAATCACTGCCTAGTATGTATAACTTCCCAGGTTCGAATCCCATAAAAAGGGTATGGCTAATTGATGAAGGCAAAAAAGCCAGAAATGGTCCATCTTAGTCTCCCAATTTAATTCTTTACTCTTTGTCAGAAAAAAGAAATTTGGATATAAAAATCTTTCGCAGTTGCGACTTGAGCCTGCTCTATGCCAATATATAAATGTTGAATAAGGGAAAAGAAAGTATGATGATAGTTGCAACAGTAACATAAACCTGCACTGATAAAGTCTATACAGAACATATATTTTCATTTATCTGAAGTCAGCTTTAATTTTAGAATAAATTAGATAAGCATAGAATGCTGAAATCCCTGATGAATAGAATAGAGTAGAGTAGAGTAGAGTAGAGTAGAGTAGAGTAGAGTAGAGTAGAGTAGAGTAGAGTAGAGTAGAATAGAATAGAGCTGGAAGGGACCTTGGAGGTCTTCTAGTCCAGCCCCCCGCTCAAGCAGGAGAACCTATACCAGTGGTGGCGAACCTATGGCACGGGTGCCAGAGGCGGCACTCAGAGCCCTCTCTGTAGGCACGCACACCGTCGCCCCAGTCCTAGGTCTTCAGCTGGGTTTTATACAACCTTTTCGCTTTAGGCCTCCGCTGCCGTGTGCAAAAAAAAAGGTTCAATCAATCAGTCAATTTCAACTTCTCACGGGAAAAAAAATCTTGCAAAGTTGGAATTGATTGATTGAACTTTTTAGTCCCACCCAGTCTGCCGTTACCACCGCAGCCACGCCCAGCCAATGGGCCACACTCACCCGGCACCCGACGATGCATAAGTGGGTTTGGGGTTGCAATTTGGGCACTCAGTCTCTAAAAGGTTCGCCATCACTGACCTATACCATCTCAGACAAGTGACTATCCAGTCTCTTCTTAAAAACTCCCAGTGATGGAGCACCCACAATTTCTGGGGGCAAGCTGTTCCACTGGTTAATTGTCCTCAATGTTAGGAACTTTCTCCTTAATTCCAGGTTGTTTCTCTTTTTGATCAGTTTCCAACCATTGTTTCTTGTCCTGCCTTCTGGTGCTTTGGAGAATAATTTGACCCCCTCTTCTTTGTGGCAGCCTCTCAAATACTGGAATACTGCTATCATCTCAACCCTATTTCTTCTTTTCTTTAGACTAGCCAAACCCAAGTCCTGCAGCCATTCTTCATATGTTTTAGTCTCCAGGCCTTGAATCATCTTAGTTGCTCTTCTCTGAACTTTTTCCAAGGTCTCAACATCTTTTTTGTAGTATGGTGACCAAAATTGAGTAATCTTGATTCTATGCCTCTGTTTATGCAACCCAGGATTGCATAACAAGCACCCCCTCCCCTATAAACTCTTAATAGTGTCTCAATATTTGGTTTCTGAGTCATTGGTTTTTAAAATCATTGATTATTTCTTCAGTGTGATTACTTTTGTAATATAGCATTTTTTGTAGTAAATACAGATTTGTTACATATCCATAAGTTTGTTTTTGTTTTAATACTGAGCATTCACTTTGCAGTATATTTTAGGAAAATATCTTGAGAAGCATGTGCTGAACTATTTTACTTTATTTAAGTATTTACAATAAGATATGTAGTATAAAATGGTATGTATATGGCAGCTGTACGCAAAAGGCCAGGCCTTGGAATTGATATATTTAAATTTGGAATTCTGAGACAAAATATCCAGATTTTCTGGATTTTTAAATAATTTATTTTTATGAAATTTATGAAATAAAATTAATGCTGTTTACAACTGAATGGGTTTTGATATTGACTTATACTTGAATCAATACTTGAGAACAGCTTGAAGGAATCTATGTTTTATTAACTAAGTATTTGTGACATTATGTATAGGTGATTACTTATATCTTGTGCTTCAAAATATAAGACTAATTCACTTTCATTTCCTAGCAATGTGAGGAATTCAAAATGCCATTCATTCATAAGACTTTAATTTTCACATATTAGGGGTTATCTTAATTGCATGAATTCCCATCAACTTATTACAGGTGATCAAAAGACCACCTATGTCTGCGCAGCAGCTACCATATGATAGTATAATTGCACATCTTTAAAGTTGATTGCATGGAATAAACTGGCTTCTATGGCAACACTTCCCTAATTTATAGAATTTATTTATAATATTATTTCTTTGTTTTGTTTTGTTTTTCTTTAGAACATGGACACTGTGTGGAACACCAGAGTATCTTGCCCCCGAAGTCATACAAAGTAAAGGTCATGGAAGAGCAGTAGACTGGTGGGCCCTGGGCATTCTGATATTTGAGATGTTGTCTGGGTAAGGAAATCTGCAATTAACAAAAAGGCAATTATCTCAAATATTAATTTTATATTGTATGTAAAACAGTTTTGAAGGCACAGAATAAACTTATTTTGTTTGATATCAAATACGATAAATATGCCAAATTTAACATTGTGTGACAAGAAGATGCTGGGTTTTTTTCTCTCTCCCCCTCTCCTTTTCCCTCAATTTTTGTTTTGTAGAATCAACATGGAATCTCAATACAGTATACTGAAACCTGGCATTTACTGTATGATTAGGCTAGCTAGTCATTATTAGTTTTGAGATTAAAATGAAAGATCTTTATATGCATTTCTTGGGTTTAAAGTGATGGGATATATGCTAAACTACACTTAAATCAAGAATGGCAAGTCAAGCTATTATATATAACAGTGGTGGCGAACCTATGGCACGGGTGCCAGAGGCGGCACTCAGAGCCCTCTCTGTGGGCACGCGCGCTGTTGCCCCAGTCCTAGGCTTTCAGGTTATAAAACCTTTTCGTTGTAGGCCTCCGCCGCCGTGTGCAAAAAAAAAAAAGGTTCAATCAGTCAATTTCAACTTCTCACGGGAAAAAAAAATCTTCCAAAGTTGGAATTGATTGATTGAACTTTTTAGTCCCATCCAGTCTGCTGTTACCACCGCAGCCACACCCACCCAATGGGACACACCCACCCGATTGGCCATACCCAGCCAATGGGCCATACTCACCCGGCACCTGACGATTCATAAGTGGGTTTTGGGTTGCAGTTTGGGCACTCAGTCTCTAAAAGGTTCGCCATCACTGATATATAATATCCAGCAAACCTCACTCTCCTAAACATTCATGAAGTTATCTAGCCTGGTAATGAAATATCTACAGGAAAACAACAAAGCTCAGATAATAACAAGAAACCAACAATATTATACATTGCAACACATAAATGTAGTAAATGAACAATGTATTTAGGACTGGCCCAAGTTCCAGGATAATTTTTTTATATATAAGGTACTCAATATATTAAGATAACCTAAATGTTCTGTTTCTTATTTTTGGAGACTTATATTTGCTTTATTCATGATTTTTCCCTTCAATAATATGTCTTACAGGCAGCTAGTTAGGCATTTTAAATATAGAACTGGGTCCTATACTTAATTTAATATCAAAGAAGACATTCTCTTAAAATAAGCGACTAAAAGAATATTAAATTCAGGGATTTACTGTACTTCATTTAATCCAGAAATATATTCAGTAAATATTAATCATAATAGCTACTGAATAACAAAAATACAGTAACTTTCAAATAATTACATTTGTAAACCATAAATAAAAAGAAAATTTGGAATATTAAATTAAACTAAGACCCTGTGGTTTTCATTTTAACTATGCCTTTCCAGTGAGGCTTCCTTTAAGATAGCAAAAACAAAACTGACTGAGATGTGTTCTTGTATTACTTAAATTCTTCTTAAATAAGCATTATATGTAAAACTCTTGTGCAGAAAACAGAGGCACCCAAGAAACTAATGGTCTTGTATTTGTATATATCATACTGTACATATCTACATATATAGATATTGCCTGTCTAATATAAGTATCAAAACAATTTTGCCAAATCAACTTCTAGACCTCGTCACCTCAGATACCAACTTCATGTAACTAGGAATATCACATAAAGATATTCCAAAAATACACTAATACATTTGAGGTGTTTTTGTTTCCTACACAAGTAAGTGGGCATAAGTAATGTCTGAAGTCATTGAAATCAGAATAACTATTTTCCATATTCATTGTAAAAGGAATTTTGCACCTAATGAGGTTTTACTATGGTTTATTGTGTTGTGTTATGTTTCTAGCTACATTGTTCATACTTCCAGAAACAACTGTCTGACATTGTTACTCTTTTTAAAACAGATTTCCTCCATTTTTTGATGACAACCCATTTGGAATATATCAGAAGATTCTAGCTGGTAAAATAGATTTCCCCAGGCACCTGGATTTATATGTAAAGTAAGTGAGCTTAAAAATGACTTCATTTTATTTATTTTCTTTCTTTATTTATTTTCTATTTCAGCATTATTTTTAAAGTGGGAGTGGGCAGCATTGTGCAGGGTGCACATAACCACCAATCCTCTCCCCAGTAAGATTGCATTGCTAAATTTAGCATTCAATCTTGAAACATGAAGTATTTTTAATTTAAAAAAATCAATAATAGCTGAGTTTCCAGTTAGATCCTATTTCAACTTCCCCCAAACCTGACAATCATGGCCTCAGCTCTTCAGGTGACACCACCTGATCATTATCACATGTCATATAATTCAATGGACAAGGAAAAAAATCCTGTTTGACCTGTGAGGGTTTTTTAAACTGCTCATATTTTAAAGTATCAGGTTAAATACAAATCAATGAATTGAAAATCGCATTATTTCAGTTTTTTATTAATTCACCAATTTTGTCCTGCAATGTATTACATTATTAATTCATTGCAGACAGCCTACACATTGTGGACTGCAGAAACATTAAAGTTTCTATCACAACAAAATTCCAAGCCAGATGCTTTACACCAAATGGGAAAGAGAAGCTCTTTTCTTTATACCAACATCATTGATCCTTCCCCTTCAGCTAACCTTTCCGGCTTGGCAACTCAGTGTGGCGAGGAGGGGGGATAGTTCTGTATGAGTGGCAGGTGTATGCATGTGCGCTTGCACAACTCCATTTGCACAAGCGCAAGCACCCACTGCTCATGAGGCCTGGTTCTGAACTGTCCATGGCCCAGGAGTTAGGAACCCGTGATTTTCCTTAAATATTTTCTTAAATATATTTGCATGCATCAAATATCCCTCCCGCCACAATTATTCACCTTATGCAGTGCACAAATTTTCTGTTTCCAGAAACAACCAGAAAGGAAAATGTATTTATTTTATATATTCATTTATTAAATTTGTACGCCACCCATACAAGTGACTATGGGTAGCTAGATTAATTCAACCACAGTAATACTAATTCATTATTAATTATCTTTTATGTACTTTAGTGTTATTATAACACTTGTAAAAAAGCATAAATTACAGATGGCACAGTGTGAGCAAAGTTTCTTACCAGCATAAAGAGTTGCAAATATACTTGTGTTACCATGCTAATCAAAGCAACAAGTGCAGAGAAGATGAACTTGTTTGATTATTTATTTATTTAGCTACTTTATATGGTTGCCCATCATAAACAAGTAACCATTGGTGATTATTAGCCAGTATAAAACATATTATAAAAGCAACAAAAATGAACCTAATAAAATGATAAAGTCACTACACTACACTACAAAAACATGTCAAATAATTCAAACATTAAAACACATGTTTCAGTCTTCACTAATACCTTGGCCCAAAGATCTGAGGGGAAAGCCAAGTCATCATGGACTTATAGAAGGACAATAGGGCAGAACTTGCATTCCAAGTGTTCCATGATAAATATCTATTTGCATCACCATCAGTTCTGGCAGAAATGTTTTATGTGTACGATGAAGAAAGGCCTCAAAGCATGTACCTCAAGTTTTGGGGAGGATTTTAGTAATCCTAAGTCTTGAAAAAATGCTTTGAATCAATCAGACTTCTAAATGATTTATAAAAGCCCACTACATAAGGCTCTGTAGAGGTGAGTATACATCTTTCCTGTTCTAAACAAAACAAGAAACCCTGGATAAATTAGGATATTTTTTTAATCATATGTTCCCTTTAATGAAAAGTTCAATTACATTTTCAAGACACCAGAGTAGTCATCCTGTTTTTGTGCTAGTTTTGGGATAGGTAAAACAAATTAGTTGGCCTCTCTCATCATATTTGTGCTAAACATACTACAGCTCTTGTGACAAGAAGCAACGGATGAAAACTAACCAAAGAGAGAAGCAACCTAGAACTAAGGGGAAATTTTCTGACAGTTAGAACAATTAATCAGTGGAACAACCTGCCTCCAGAAGCTGTGAATGCTCCAACCCTGGAAGTTTTTAAGAAGAGACTGGACAGCCATTTGTCTGAAATGGTATAGGCTTTCCTGCCTGAGCAGGGGGTTGGACTAGATGACCACCAAGGTCCCTTCCAACATTATTATTATTATTATTATTATTATTATTATTAGTCATCAACACTGCTAACATCGGATGTTCTTGCTTTGATAACAGATGGAAATGTAGCCATCTTTTCTCTTTTGCTTTTAGAATTGGTTGATGCTGGGAGGGGGGATGTGGATGAGAATTCAGTTAGTCATAGCAATATAACTCAGCTGTGGGAATCAAGGTTATTGCACCCAGAGTTGATAAAGATTTGGTGGGCTGGAGAAAGCCCGCGCTTCAAGCTAATTGGGGAATGTGATTTATGACTGTTAATTGGAGGAGGGAATTGTGCTTTGCTACTTTGTGCCCAGGGGAGGGGAATTCAGTTTTTGGCTTTAACTATGTAGTGCTGATATTTTGTTTCTCGAATAAAAGATTGTTTAAGGTAATCAATGCCTCGAAGTTCTTTTGAAGAGTTTCATCTGTCGGAACCATGATATTAAGCCAATAACTCCAATTTTTACCTAACTATCTTGAGGTCCCGAGCCCCAGTCGCTGTCCCTAGAATTGAGGGATAGACCGACAAAATTCGGGGAAGATCTCAGCATGGAGAAGGAAGGAATGCTTGAATCCAGCACCCCGGCAGCGGCTGCTACCCCAGAGGGGGGAGCACAAGCCAGCATGCCACTGGAGAAGGGACTTTTTCAGGCCTTTCAGTTGGGGGCAAAGCCCAAGTCGCAAGGACAGCTGATCTAGTCGTCGGAATGGACCCTACCCAGTAGAGACTCCAGACACCTTGAGACGGCCTTGCCACAATCAAGTGCTTCGAAGGCAGATGAGGTTGAGCTGCCAAGAAGAGATTCCCGCAAGTCACGTTCCCTGGACCGGTGGAGAACCACAAAGTCATCTACCACTAAGGACTCAGGTGAGTGGAAATACCTGTCCGCAGCCTGTAGTCAATCAGTGGAAAAGTTGGTGGAAAGATTTGAGGAGCTAGAGATGAAAAGTGGAGAGCAATCTTCCCGTTCCCCATACGTGAGCGATCATGATGATCGGCGAGGCAGCCACCAACTCCTGCCAAGGGGACCCCCCTGTTCCACCTGTGCAGATCAGGCAGCCTCCCCATCTTCGAAGCAACCAACCATGGCCTCCAGCCCCACGGGGAGAGACAGCTCCAGTGGCCACCCCTCCAAAAGCCCAGATTGCCACCGACGGGATAAGAGCCTGTGCCGTCACCGGGACAGCCAAATTCTGGAACGACACACCGGCCACCCAGCCCTGGCTCTTACAGCAATAGGGGATGTCACAGCCTCTCCAGGTAGAAGGCAGCAGCAGAGCTGGGGGTGGCTGCAGCTCCCGAATGTGCAGCAGCAGATGGCCTTGCAACAACCGGGGTGATGCAGCCGCCAGGGAATCAGCAACTGCTGGGAATACAGCAGCAGCAGTGGGGCTGGCCGCCACCTCTGAACATGCAGCAACTGCTGAGGGGCCTGCAACCAATGGGGATCCAGTAACAACTACCTCCAGGGCCGCAAGGCGGGGGGTTGTGGTGCAACTGGGGGCACCACAACCCCCCGCAGGCCAGCAGCAGTGGGGATGGCAGCAGCCCCCACCCATGCAGCAACTGCTGGGAGGCCCGCAGCAACAAGGGGTGCCATTATAGCAGCTGCTAAGACCGGTGGGGGTCATACAGCAATTGGTGATGCCACAGCCGCTGGTAATGCAGCAACAGCTGGGAGGCTTGCAGCAACTGGGGATGCGGCAGCCGCCATGGGGGGGCCAGCAACAGTTGGGGAAGCAACATCCTCAGTGGGGAGGCCAGCAACCACTGATGGCACCACCTCTTAAAGCCACCTTTGATGGGGACCCGGAGAAAATGATCTTTTTCCTCAATCAGGTGTGCTCTCACTTGAACCGCTGTGCCTATTTCTATCTGAACCTAGCCGCTATAGTTGACATGATTGCATCCAGCTTGGAAGGGGAAGCATCTGAGTGGCTGAACAATTTATATAACGAGCAAGCACCCAAGTTGGAAGACCCCCAGCTCTTCCTCCTAGGACTGAGAGAGAGGTTCGAGGACCCCTCCATTGCCCTCAAAGCGGAGGAACAAGTCCACAAAATAAAACAAGACAGCAAGCCTGCACTGGAATATGTACAAGAGTTTTTGCAAGATAGCCGGCCAAATAGAGAGGTGGCCTGAGCAATCCCTAGTCCATCACTTGAAGGAGGGACTAGACAACCACCTCTCCCAGGCCTGTATCTATCAAGCAGTCCCTGATCAGCTGCAAGAATGGTATCAGGCAGCAGTAAGATTAGATGTTCAGCTCGCCCGCTATAAGAAGCCACCCCCACAAGAAGCCGAGTCGAGGCCAAATCAACCCAAACGACAGCCACACCCCCCCGAAAGCCTCCAATCGATGTGGCTACTGAAAATCCCAGGCCACCTGCTGGCCCACCAATCAAGTGTTTCAGATGTGGACAGCAGGGGCATCGAGCAGCAAGTTGCCCAGTCCCTTACTCTCAGTTATTTTTTTAATGCACTGGCCATGTAGTGCTTTGTCTTCCCATGCCTCTATTCTGTTCCTTATTATTATTGTTGTTGTTGTTGTTGTTGTTGTTGTTGTTGTTATTATTATTATTATTATTATTATTATTATTATTATTATTATTATTATTATTATTATTTCTAACAATGATTTTCTTTGACTTTTAGCCAGACAGTTGTATCTGAATATTAATATCCAGAATTTTCAGTTTCAGGGCTTTGGGGCTTGTTGATTGAATTTAGAAAAATCTAGGCCCAACATATGTAGAAAGCAGCAAATTAAGGAAGTATATCTGGGACAATTTAAACTTTCGTGGAAAACATGGGTTGAAGCTGATCATCTAAAGCAGGCATGCATCCGCAGGCTGGATGCATCATACTGAAACTGCGCCCACCCCATTGCCGGCAATGGGGAAAAAGTCGCGATACGTCGCACAACGTCACATGACGTTGCGAGTTTCACATGCCTGATCTAAAGCATGGGAGGGGAACTATGATCCCTTTATGATCACTTGATTTCAACCATGCTCACTCAGAAATTCTGGGAGTTGAAGTCCACAGGTTGTAAAAGGGCCATAGTTACCACCCCTGATCTAAAGACTGAAAGCTTGAGACTTCCGGTGGGACGGCGCGCCGATGGCGGCTCTTTTGGAGCCGTCCGCTTGGGAAGGCGTCAGAGCCAGCCTGAACAGCGGACATCAGCTGTTCAGCGGCTTGGAACCTTGTGCCCCGGGCGAAGGGGCCAAGGTGAGTACTCCCGGATAGGAGTAGAGCCCCAAAAGCTCTCCCTTAACTTAAGGAGAGCGAAAATTGGGTGCTCCTCCGGAGTCTGGGAACCTCCGTCTCCCAAATGCCTTTGCTCCCTTTTTTTTTTGGGAGCGAAGCGAGTCGTTGCCTCCACCTCCGCGAATTATAGAGACTTGTGAGTAATAATAAGCGGACGGAATTGCCCGGGGATACTGGACTTTGATCAATCTAAGACTTTAACTCAATTTATTTACATCTTCCCTATTGAACTGGGGGAAAAAAAAAGAGAAAAAAGATGGCTGCGGTTTGCCTTTCTTCAAAGTGAGAGTGATTTTTTTTTCTTTTTTTCTTTTTTAACTTTCACTTTCCGGTGGAGCTGAATGAAGAGGGAAATTGTTACCCCTTGTAACATTGATATGGAAAGTTTTAGTGATTTCTTTTTCTTTTTATTTTTTTTTAATGAAAGAACTTTGGATTTGATTTTGGATTTTCCCCCCCCCCTTTTGTTTCCGAAGCTGTGCTTAAAGAAGTTTGAAAAATGGCTTTACTTGAGGGAACTTCCGCTTTGTTTAAGGATTTCTAACAGTTTAACTTTGAAGTTAATTTTTTTTTTAATTTTATCGATGGTTTTATTTGAAGACTTACAAAAAGTTTTGAAACAAATTAGAGAGAAATCTGAAGATTTTTTGGAAAGGGAACTATAAGGATTTTGTCAGAACATATCATTTGCAGAGGCTAGGATGGAAGGAAAAATGGAGCCTGTAAAAGCTGAAAGTGGACTGACAAAGACTCAAGAAGAAGATTTGGATTTTAAGGAAGATATCTGGAAGGATTGGTGGCAAAAGCGGAAACTGGATTGGAAATATCTAAAGAAATTTTACATGGATACAGAGAAGAGGTGTGATGGACTCAGTTGTGACTTTGGGATGCAATTTTAAAGAAATACTTATAGAAATGGAAAATTATAGTATTGCATACTAGGAGAAGCAGCTGGGGGAATTTTTTTTTTTTAAGAGTATCTTGTGATGTAATAATATAGGTATTTTTGTTCGAGATATTAAGAGATTAATTTTAAAAAATTTTGGAGAAGGAGATGAGATCTGGTGGAGGTGTGGATTCAAAAGGGATTTTTGAAGAGATGCTATTTTTAATGTGATTAATCAATATATTATAAAATGTTACTTTCGATATGACATATTGATAAGGTGATATATCTGACTTTGGGATGTAATTTTAAAGAAACATTTATATTTTTGCTCGAGATATTAAGAGATTAATTTAAAAAGAAAAAAAAAAGAAAAAATTCTTTGGAGAAGGAGATGGGATATTCTGATGGAGGTGTGGATTCAAAAGGGTATTTTGAATTTTAGTGGTTAAGAGATGCTATTTTTGATGTGATCAATTAATACTTTGGGATGTAATTTTAAAGAAATATTTATATGATTAAAAGGGTTTTGAATTATAATGGTTATTTTAGTTACATGCTAACTGGCATTAATTAATATTGTGGGATGTAATTTTAAAAGTGTTCTGAATTTTAATGGTTATTATGGTGGAGTTGTGGAATTATAAGGGATTTCTGAAAAAAAAATACTTATATATGGAAAATTATAGCATTGTATATTAAGGGGTAGAGGGATTATTGTTTATTATAAAATGTTACTTTTGATA